AGTCCGGGAACTTTCCGGACAAACTGTGTATTGTCGCGTGTGTATTGCGAAAGCTAAGATGGAAAATGAACAATGAATCGGATCAGACAACCAAAATCACTGTAGGTTCTAAACAATTATATATAAGCAATGGCAAACATGAACGATCGCGAACCGCTCGAAGAAGAGGCCGCACTCCTCGGCACGTTGGACGGTTACATCTCGTGGGAAAAACGATGCGACAAACGTTTAGAGACGCTAAGAGAAGAGTGATGCCAAAGAAAACGCCCGCAACTATCCACTGGTGTGATAAATTGGCACATTGTTCGAATCTCGCGAATCAAAAGTCTCCGCGTGGTTCTTCGCGAACGATTCGCGCACGTGGATGCGGGTGTCAAGAATGCGGGACTCGCATAGATCGAAGTCGAGACAGCGTTTAAAAATCGTTTGGTGACCGGCATCGTGGTGAACAAGTCGTTCTTTGAACCCCGTCGATTTCTCGAAGCCGCTAAAGACACGGTGCTCGTGCGCGTTCATCGAGCAATCACGCGGCACGCTAGTGTGAAAGTGGACACAGTGTTTAACCGGAAGTTTGTCGCGGGTGAAAAAAACAAGTGCAAAATCGTTTAATACGCGCAATCGCGGACTCTATCACTCGTCGGATCTGCGCAAGTGATGCGATCGAGACGTGATGGATGCAACAATGACCGCTCTTGAGGAGTTTCAGGAACGCGACAGCGGCTGGGTGTTGACGCAAATACTGAACCTCACAGTGAATGTGAACAGTCACAATTCCATACGCGCAAGATGTCAGGTTAAAATACCGCGTGAGGTTCAGCTCAAACGCGTGGTAGTGAACGTACAGTCGCAGGACAATGTGTTTCGCGTAGGCAGTGGTCGTCGCGTTGTATCCTAATGCTTCACATCCTGAACAACAATCACATTATCCCGCGTTTGAGAGCGTGTTCAATCTTGATGGAATAGAATTTCCAATGACATTGCACCAAGTCGCGCGTTTCGAAGGCAACAACAACGTGTCCGGAAACGTGTTTACGGCGGCGAAACAGGGACACGGATACGTGCCGCTGCAATTCACATCAAACAAAAAGGACAAGCATATAAATCTATTATATGTTTCCGATTAACACGATGAACACGTGAAACATTTTGCGTGGATAAAAAATTTATCGCGATTAGTCAGCTTGCAATTGAGCAAGAATAAAAGAATGAAGTACATATGCGACCGGTAAGTACAAACAATTGTTGCAACAATCTCGAACTAAAATGACCGTTCAAATTGTGAGATGGTGAACTTAGTAATTAATGTTGTGTATTGTATTTTTATTACAACACGTACATAGATGCCTACACTACTTCCACACAAGCGAGAAGCTGGCGGTACACATCATGGACTGTGAACGATTGAACGACAGCGCAGTCGTTCTTCTCGTTGAGGGAAAGAACCGTTTGAGATTTGAGAATTATAACAACAAAGAACGTGCTCCAATGGTGGTATACGCCGACTTGGAGTACGTACTGGAGAAACAGGACGAGGAACGGAATGCATCGAGCGCGCACAAGTACCAAAGACACAGTGTGTTCAGCATCGGTTATTACGCGAGCTGCGAGCACATCAACATCGGATACAGATCTCATAGAAGCGAGAACTGCGTACAGTGGTTCGTGACTGAACTGCACGATCTCGCGAAACGTGCAAAGACTTTGTTCGCGGCAAATGTATCCATGGCGAATCTCACACCGTTGGAGCTCGAGCTGTTTAGGAACGTCAATTATTGCCACGTGTGCGAACGACCGTTCAAGCGAGATGACAAGAGGATATGCGACCACTGTCATCTGACGGGACGCTTCAGAGGACCCGCGCACTCCGCGTGCAATCTGAATTACAAACAGGTCTACGTTGTTCCCGTTGTGTTCCACAACTTGTCGGGATACGACGCGCATTTTAGTATCACAGATATGGCTACCGCTTTCGAGGGTGAGATCAACATGCTGCCCGTGACGAAAGAAACCTACATATTGTTCACAAAACATGTGAGCAGTACTCGGGACGAAGACGAACAGAAATGCGTGCAATTGCGGTTTATCGATTCTTACAAATTTTTGAGCAAAATCTTAGAGAAGCTCGCGTCCTATCTCAACANGAGCGAACTGCGAGTGACTCGAACGGAATTCAGAGATCTCTCCGCCGAGAACTTTGAACTGCTTACGCGAAAAAGTGTGTTTCTATACAAATATGTGGACAGCGTCGACAAACTGTTGGAAACCAGTCTGCCACCGCGCGAGGCGTTTTACAGTTTGCTCATCGGTGAGACCGTGATGGAAAGCGAGTACGCGCACGCAATGAATGTATGGCGACGATTCAACATCGACAATCTGGGATCAGCGACTTGTATCTAAAGACAGACGTACTTTTGCTGACCGATGTATTTGAAAACTTCCGTTGCGAGTGCCTCGCGAGTTACGGACTGGATCTCGCGCACTACTACACGCTGCCTGGATATACATGGGACGCCATGTTAAAGCACACTTGTGTGACATTTGAGCTGTTGATCGACATCAAAATGATGATGTTTGTGGAACGCGGCATACGTGGCGGTTTGAGTCAATGTTCAAACAGATACGCCCGGACGAACAACAAGTACGCGCATTTGCACGACTCGTCCGCACCGTCGACGTATCTGATGTACTACAACGTGAACAATTTCTACGGATGGGCAATGTGTCAACCGCTTCCGTACGATAACTTCACATGGGTGGAGAACGCGTCCGAGTTCGATGTATCAACGGTCGCGGTAGACAGCGACGTCGGCTATATACTCGAGGTGGATCTGACGTACCCAAAAGAACTGCACGACGCGCACAGCGATTTACTCTTTTGTCCGACGCGTGAGGAACCGCCCGGTAAACATGGAAAGAATCATGTCAAACTGCTCGCCACGGTGTTCGACAAGAAGCGCTACGTTATTCACTGCTTCAACCTGCAGTCTGCGGCACGGGCTTCGCCTAACGCGAATACATCGGGTGCTGCGGTTCTCGCAATCGCCTTGGCTGCGCGAGTACATCGAGCTCAATATCTGATTCCGCGCGAACGCCACCAACGAGTTTGCGAAAAACCTTTACAAACTTATGAACAACGCGGTGTTTGGCAAGACAATAGAGAACGTGCGCAAGTACACCGACGTACGACTCGTTACAAAATGGAAAGGACGATACGGTGCGGAGGCGCTCATTGCAAAACCAAACTTCCACAGTCGCAGCGTATTTGCTGAGGATCTGGTGGCCATAGAACTTCGTCGTCTAGAAGTTTTATTTAACAAACCGTTATACGTTAGTATGTGCATACTCGACATATCGAAGACCTGTCTTTACGAATTTTGTTATGACTACATGGCACCGTTGTACGGTGACGATTGCAAAATCCTCTACACCGATACCGACAGTTTGATATACCACATAAAGTGCAAGGACGTGTACGAGAATATGATGCGCGATATCGCTCGCTTCGATACAAGCGACTATCCAACGGACAATCTATCGATGCCTCGCGCTAATAAGAAGGTACTAAGGCTTATGAAGAATGAGAACAACGGTGCTGTTATGACAGAGTTAGTGAGTTTGCGCGCAAAGATGTACGCGACTCGAGTGGGCGACAGCAAATGCACAAAAAAGGTGAAGGGTGTGAAAAGGAGCGTTGTCGCGAGAACAATCATCTTCAACGACTACGTTCGGTGTCTGCGGGACGCGATTGAACGAACGCGACAGCAGTCATGCATACGATCTCAGCTGCACGAAGTATTCACCGTTTCGGAACAGAAGCTCGCTCTGAGCCCGCATGACGACAAGCTGTGCATTGTCCATGGATTGACCGAGACTTTATCGTGGGGTCACTACAATATCCCTAACTAAGTTAGATTAAATTAGATTAGGTTACGTTGAGGATCTGGGGCAAGTTTGGACTCTTCCTTCTTGACGTGGAGCCCCGGCTTGTGTTGCAGGGGTGATAGAAAGGGCTATGCCGGCGGGACTTCGGTCCTGGTGGGTTCTGACTTGCCAGACTAAAAGGAGGGTCCACGGGCAGACCGGGCTCGGTAGCCATGGTAGGCAACCGGTCTAGGACAGGTACAAGTCCAAAATAAAACCGCCACTTTTTGTATCATGATAAAAGGCAAAAAGATGCTTAGACTTACTGGCCCAGGGTAAACAGACACCCAGGGCCCGGCATGGGGGGTGAGCGTCCCGCGCTCCCCCTTGTCGTCATCATGCGACGGGCGGTTGGAAGGGTGCACCGCAGGCCCCTCCAACTATTCTGCGCCTGCAAAGGCTACCTCCTCTTCGAGAGGAAGCAGTCGCTAGAGAAGGGGCGTAGCGTCGAGGGCTTCCTCCAACTCGTAGTTGGAGTTTAAGGAGAGCCATGCGATGGAGGTCAACGTGACGATCCCCAATCCGGTTCCGGGTCCGTTTTCGGATGGAACAAAGCCGAGGAAGAGAGGGCGCGGCCGCCCACCCACCCACGGTGAATTCGTGGGTCTCGGACGGGCGCGCGAGGAGAAAAGGAAACTCCGCCCGGCTCAAAAAACCCTTCGCGAGGCGGAGTCACGTGAGCTGCGTGGTGGAGCTTCCGGGTCGGAGTACGACCCGGATTCTGGGTGTACGAGGAGTTGGACGCGGTGGAGAAAGTGGCCCAGCGCTCCAAGAATCTTAAGGACACTTCGGTAAAGGTCCTTAAGATGGCGAGCCGAAACGTCCGCAGTATCCTGGAGACGCTTATAAGGCGTCTCCAGAGGAATCCGGAGTTTACCTCCGCGCCGGCCTCTTCTAAGGTTGCCCTAGAAAATAAGAAGCTCCGGGCGGAGGTAGTGCAGTTGAGGAGGGAGGTGGCGGAGCTGTGTGCTAAAGTTAGCATGCCCCCTCCGCCACCGTCCAGTGGGGGACTCGGTGAGGAGTCCCCTCTTCTGGAGAAAGTGGGAGCTCTGATCGAGCGCAAGCTCTCCAGGCTCTTCCTTTCCCTCCTTGCAGGGAGACGGGAAGCGTCCTTGGCGACGAGGAAGAAAAGGGGAGCCGGCCGCCCTGCCCCTCCGACGTCTCGCTCCGCTTCGCGGAACAAGGGACGGGGGGCGAAGCCGGCGCCGGGTACTGGTGGTGCCCAGGCCGGGACATCGGCGTCAGCCAACCCCGCTTCCTGGGCACAAGTGGTGGGGAGGAAGGCGAAGCGGCGGGCAAAGGCCTCGGCCCAGACCGCCGCTCAGCCTTCCTCCAAAAAGAAGGGACAGCTTGGAAGCAAGGGAGCTAAGACCTTCAAACTCTTCAGGCGCGATGCCGGGAGGGTGCGCCCTAGGCGCATCCGTATTCCCGACACTGCGGCAGTGGGGTTGACGGCGGTTAGGGAGGACGCATCCCTTGCGGACGCCATGACGGGGTTCCGGAAAGCCCTCCTTAACCTAACCTAACCTAACCTAACCGCCAGGTTCGGGATAACCGAACTTCGCCCGAAGTGTTCCGCCACCGGGAGTCTGCTTTTGCTGATTTCCGGTGAAGGTCGTGAGGACAAGGCGAAAGCCTTGTACTCGTGGATGAGGGATTTCCTGCTAACGCAGGAAGGGAGAAACCTGGGGGTGAAGGTGTTGTGCCCCGCCAAGATCGGAGAGATCCGGCTGGCGGGGTTTGACTTGTCCGCCACCCCCCAGGAGGTGGCTTCCTCCTTCGCTCGCGAAGGAGGCTGCCAAGAGGCAGAAGTCCGGATCGGTAAGATTCTAGAGTCCCCCGCAGGTAATTTTACTTGTTGGGCCCAGTGCCCGATCACCGCTGTGAGGCGGCTGGGTATGGCCAGGGGGAACAGAAGGGAAAAGTGCAGGTGGGGTGAAGTTCGGCCTCGGTGGAGGACCTCCCGCCCCGGCCGCTGAGGTGCTACAGGTGCCTCTTTACGGGCTATGTGAAGAGGTACTGCACCTTTGCGGTCGACCGCAGCAGACGTTGCTTCCGCTGCGGTGCCCCAAGTCATGAGGTGGAGGCATGCACGCCGAAGTGCCCCCTATGCTCTGATCTGGGGCGTAAGGGCAATCACCAGTTGGGAGAGCCCGCGTGCTCCCCCCCGGAGAGCAGGAGGAGAAGGGCTCTGGGCTCTTTCGGGTCTGCGAGGACTTCCTCCCAGACCATAAGCAAAGACGAGGGGAAACCCTCGGAAAAGAAGGTTTCCTCTCTTCGACGGGATCCATTGGCCGAGGCCATAGATACGTCTGAGGGGACGACAACCCCCCTCGATATGACAACGGGAGCTCTTGCGTTTTCTGGGACGCAGAGTTCCCAATCTGCGGCCAAACCACCCAAACGGGTGGCAAGGTCGCCGAAGCGCAAGGCCTCCCCTCCTCCGGAGCCCAGTGCTCCGAAGAAAGTGGGGAGGGAAACGGCCGCAATGACCAAAAAGAAGGTTTTTGGGGAGGAACAGGCCCGGAGGGCCAGAATGCTGGCCGCTCTTTTGGACTCTTCCTGGGAACAAAAGAAGCCGAGCAAGCCCGGCCCCGCGTCCTCGAAGAAATAACTTCGAGAACTCGGGGCAGGGACTGAGAGCGGACATGTCCGCCTTCTTCCGTGGGGGGTACGGGCCGGCTTATTTCCACGGAAGTAAGTAGGTCCCCGTGTGGATAACTACATTTGGGGAGGCGTCATCCTTTGGAGTTTGACGCCGGACCACACGGGGGGCTTGGTCAGGGAGCCAAGTTTCCTATTGCCCTGCATACCGACGAGGTGGGGGTGTGGCCCTCCATCTCGTCGTGGACAAAAGTAGAGCACAAGGCGGATGTACCGCCTGGTAGATAGAGGGGGAACCGCGATGAGTTCCGACACGGAGATACCAGGTCCCCTCCTCAGACCGCGCGAAGTTAGGCCACGTAAAGGGTTTTTAGTGAATATAACCTCTCCGACTTGCGGGCCGGAGAGGGGAGTCTCACATACCTTACCTTTCCCTGGGGGTGGGGATGCGTAAAGCATTTTCCCCTTGTAAAAAAAAGGTTACGATAAAGATATGCCCAGGGCACACGGGGCATTATTGCCCCAAGAGTGAGCCGGACCGCAGCGGCCGTTGTCACCGCTGCGGCCTTCGCGGGCACTTGCTCCGGCAGTGCAAGGCTCCGGAGCCGAAGTGCCCACTGTGCGAGGACCTGGGGCGTCCATCCCGGCACGTGCTGGGAGGCCCCAGCTGCCATCCCCCCCCGGCCGCATCTGGTGGCGTGGCCACCACGTTTGCGCAGCCAGCTAAGCTGGCGGAGGGGGTGGCAGGCAAAAAAAAGAAGAGAGAGAGTCCGTCGGGCGGGGATTCTCCGGCTGCTGGGAGGTCTTCTCCGCAGCCGAGGGTTTCCGAACTGATGGATTGCGAGTCGGCGGTGGCGGGCGCGGATCCCTCTCGAGAGGCTCCCGCCTCCCCGGCTCCATCATCATCTGCCCGGAAGCACGGAAGAGGGTGCTCTTTTCTCTGGTTCTGGGGGAACTTGTTCACTCAGTTCTAGGGAAGACACCCTATCTCCCTCCGCTAAGAAGAAGAAGAAGAAGGCGACCTTGCCGGTTTTGCCGCCTTCAGCACCCTCAGCGAGACTGAAGATGGACCCGAGCAGAGCGCTCGCGGCTCTGCTCGGTTAGGCGAGGGGACCCAAGAGAAGAGTCCGCTCTGTACCAGCTTGCTCCAGACTCAAGTAAGGGCTTGGTAGGTGGCAGCCCAGGGTGGGGTTGTGGGGGGAGGAACTTAGCACCGGCTATGGTCAATTGAAGGTGTTAGGTCCACCTCCTCGGGGATATTTGATCAAGGACTGCGTGCAGTCCAGCAGCGGCGAAGCGGGGCTATGTCCCCTCGCTTTGTCGCGGGAGGGGGGAAGCTTTTACTAATTTCTCCCCGTCAGGTAGTAGGGCGCAAGTTCTTGTTTACCGGGCTGCTTCTGGGTCGTTCTAATACTGAGGTACCGGGGCAGCCCTAAAAGGGCGGAAGGTGGACACCGCAGAGGTTTTAGTGAGTATTCCCCGCCGGGGTGCGCTTTGGCGGGGCGAGTCTTACACTATCCTGGCCCACATTTAGTTTGGGTTAGGGTGTGCGTAAACGCTTTTCCCCTGCGCAAAAAAAAAGGTTAAGTTGAGGATCTCGCCGGGTCGAGTTGCAGCGGGAGGGTGTGGGGGGTGATGCCCTCCGGGAGGCCCTCGCCGACGCGGAGCGCCAGGCTCGGCAATAACTCCTTCAAGAGTGAGAGGAGCTCCTGGGCGAGCCTCGTGCGCACGCCCATAAAGTTGTTCGGATTGCCCGACCCCATCTCCGTGCGTGGTTGGAGAAAGGGGCCAGACACCTCACTTATCGAGTGACGCAGATGCTCACCGGACACGGTTGTTTTGGGGAATACCTGTGTCGCATAGAGCCGACGGCACAATGCCATCATTGTGGGGCGGCCAGCGACTCGGTGGACCATACCGTGGAGGAGTGTCCTGGTTGATCTGATGAGCGCCAAGCGCTGGTCGCCAAGATTGGAGATGACCTCTCCCTGGAGGCCTTGCTAAAAGCCGTGGCCTTCGGGGATGAGAGTATGTGGGGCGCCGTGGTCTCTTTCTGCTCTACAGTGTTGGAGCAGGAGGCCGTGGAAAGGGAGAGAGAAAGAGCCCCTCTCCCTGCCACGGGCTTTCGGGGGCGGGGGCGGGCGGGGTGCAGGGCCGCATCTCGTGCCCGTTCTCGTAGCCCAAGAGCCCCGTCCTGACAATAGACCCCTCCCCGCTAGTGGCTGCTCACTTCCTGGGCAGTTAGCGGGGAGGGGGACCGAGGCGGCGGACGTTGAGGGAGCCGGCTCCTTCGTCAGTCTGCCGTCCTGACGGGGCAACTCTCGGAACGAGAGGGGGTGCAACAGTTTTCCCGGGTGAATTTGTCACCCAGGGAGGGCCGTCACTGCTGCACGAGGGCCGAAACGGGTCAGGGTGGGGGCCCTGACTCGTCTTTGCACGCGGCCCTCAGTGGAGGAGCGGTGCGGCGGTGTGTGTCCCGCTACACCGCTGAGTCAGAAGTGCTGCGGGGAGAACTCTAAGTTCTCCCCGACAAGAAGGAAGATGATCGGCTCAAGGGAGGGTCAAGGGTTGTCCTGAACCAGAGGTACCGGGCCCTACCTACAACAAGCGAGAAGACACACCATGGGGGTTTTAGCGGATATACTTACTCGGCTCTTGAGCCAGGGAGGGGAGTCCCGCATAACCCCGGCCTTACCCCCCAAGGGCCGGAGTATCCGTAATGGATTTCCCCCATACAAAAAAAAAGTTACGTTGAGGATATAATAATACAGAAGAAAGTAATTATATGTAAGTGTATCTTTTTTATTGTATATATAACAAAAAATACATGTAAGAATAAAGTAATTAATGTAATTGTTTTATTGTATAAAAAGTACATGTAAAAAAATATAATTGCAATATATGTAATAGATATTGTAAATATATATGAATGAAAGAGAGAGATTACACATAGCATAATAATATTAGAAAACATTGTTCTTATTTATCCAGGAATTGTGCGAACTGTCCAGTCCCAACCACTTGACCAATACCTCGTTGCCTCGGCGACGTACAACCTTTTCCACAAGATAAACGTCTGGATGTTTAACCGCGTGCAACTCGTGTTTGTAGAATCCACAGGCTATAGGTTCACCGCGATAATCCTTGAGCAGATAAGTCGCTGGTGAAATTTGTTGCACTTTTTTAACTCGGAACATTTTGGTGGTCCAGTTTGGAATGTAACCCTTCGCAAAAACGGTTTTGTACTCGCTAACGCGCACAGGATCGCCGACTTTGAATCGCGCCGCTCCTGCGATTTTGACGTTGCTGTACACCGTGCGCAGAAGTTGCTCGCTCGAAGCCGGCGTTACGTCGATCGGTCGCGCGCCGATAGTGCGATGCTTGCGCGCGTTGTACTCCGTTACAAGTCGTTGCAGGTCGTCGATCCAGCGATACGATCCGTTTAGCATGAACATCTTCCACATGTTAGTCTTGAGCGTGCGATTAAAACGTTCAACCATCGACGTGTTACGTCCTGGACTTCACGTCCCCTTTTTTTTGCAACGTGAGAACGATCTTTTCGTTCTGAGAATCATAATAACCGTAGCTTTAAGAAACCGAGATGCTGAGACTTCCCGGATGGAGGACAGGAGTCGGGCTGTGGCGATAAGAATTGTAATCG